ATTTTTAACCCAGATAATATAAACACAATTTAATCCCTATATTAAATAGGGGAACTTTTCGATCTTATATAAAAGATTCACGGACTGTCATAAATCATTTAGTTTATGTGATCTAGCCCACCGCCAAGTAATATATATATCTCTCGAGATGGTATATTATTTGTTGTGTTGCGATTGATTACTTAAACTATTAAATATATGAGATCTTTTTTTTCTCATTTTTCAAAATTAAAAATAATATTTTCAAAATCAAAATTATATACATACTAAATTAAACTACTTTGAAAAAAAAAAATTGACTGACAGCTGTGTTGCACCAAACAAAGCCGTAATACCCAATTAAGGCTTCCCCTACCACTCTTCATCATCTAATAAATCAAGGACCATGACGGTCTAGGATGACGGAACCATGAGATCCTGATTAGGTTTCGTCTTCATTCCTCCATCATCCGCTTTAAGCTTCAAGTGATGAATTCTACAACTTAAATATTAAGTCTAGTGATATCATATGTTGAATACTCAACTCTTAATAACTAGCCTCAATCGAAAGTGCCCTCCCGTTATCGGGAGGGATAATTAACCATAGGCTTGCCCTTATAAGAAACCTTGAACTTCATATAAAAAAATCCTCACAAAATGAGGGCAAAATCTATGGGTAGTGTATTATCTACAATCAAATATGCGTTCTAAAAATTTTGAGCCTCCTAAGCTCTCTAAAAAAAAAAAAATTAAATGAAAGAATTCTTCTCGGGGATTCATCGTGAATTTCCAGAGCCCACATTGTTTCTCAACTGTTACAATCTTAATCAACATATTTGCAAAATTCTTTGTAGAAAAATTCTTTGTTATGTAACTTCTCCAAAGATAATTGATAATCTTCTGAGAATGAAAGAATGAATAATATCTCAGCTTTCGTGACTTTTCAGAGCCCACATAATTTCTCAGCTATTACAATCTTATTCAACATATTTGCAAGATTCTTTGTATGTAACGAATGAAATGATATTTTAGCTTCATGTGTTTCGTCCTGACATGAAATGCGACATTCTTTTTTAGATGAATGTCAACCATATTGTCGCTATAAAGCTTTTCGTTCCATTACTCCCTGTCAAGTTTTGTCATTAAGCTCTATAGTCAAATATTTCCTGCTAGTCTAAGTGATACCAACACTCTCAATTTATATAGTCGTTCGAGCAATAATCTTCTACAATCTGAAAAATCCAACTCACTTTTTTGTTTCTCAAATTGACGATATAACAAGTTGTACTTCTTCCAACATCAATATCTCCTATAAGATTTGAATCTACAGATTTTTATAAATTAATATATGCACTTCCACAAAGTGTTTTGTTTGTTTTGGCAATTGTTCCTCCTAAGTATCTTCACCATCACTTAATGATGATTCCCCATATTGCTTGTGTACTTGTTGACTACTCTTACTATATGTGCAATATCTAGTTTTGTAAACATCATCACATATATCAAACTTCCAACAACTAAAACATAAAAGGTTATTTTCATTGCTCAGTTTTAGACTTTGGTGGATTAAGTAGACGCGAACTAATTTTGTCTCACTCATGTTGAATCTATATTAAAACTTTCTCAACATATCATGCTGAGACAACTTCAATATACCATACACTTGCCCCTACTGATTCTCACACTAAGAATTTTCTTAGTTGGACTTTAATCCTTTATTTCATACTACATTGATAATTGTTCCTTCAAGTCACTGATCTTCTCTATATTTGCTCATACAATTAGCATGTCATCCACATACAAAAGAAGCATAATATAACAATTATCAAAATATTTAATGAAACAATAATGATCTAATTGACACTTCGTGAACTCACTGCTTGACACTTCGTGTACCCACAATTTGACATAAACCTGCCAAATCTCTTGTAACATTGTTTTGATGTCTTCAAATCATAAAAAAATTTCTTCAGTTTAGAAGTCGTATCTTCTTTTTTGAACTTCATATCCCTGTGATTGCATTACGTACAGTTCTTCTTTGAACAGAAGAGCACAAATTAATATAATACATAAAACGCAAAGAATACAAAATTTAACGTGAAAAAATTTTATAACAGGTAAAAATAATAGAGTCACACCACACCAAGAAATCTACAATGAAGAAAATGAGGAGAAACGTATAAATTACACCGCACTCAAACCTCTCCAAATGGTAGAGCACTTCAGAATGCTCCTCTCATCTCTTTTAATAAAAGAGAGATCAAAATCACATGCCCTCTATCGGAGAACGAATCAAATTCGGAAAAAGGCGTCAGGGCGCCCCTATATGTAGTTGCAACGCTCCAATGACCATTGGGCTAGTGCTTTAGGGCATTGCAATGTCGCTCTCTCGCATTCTGAATCTGGAATTGGCATTGTGGCGTTGTTATTCTTTGCGTTGGGGAGCTCCCCTCAGGGTGTATTGGAGTGTTGTGCTCTCGGGTTCTAAAATATGGACTTTAGCAAAAGAGAGATCAAAATCGTATACCCTCCATCAGAGAACGAATCAAATTCGAGTAACAGTGTCGAGGCGCCCCGATATAGAGTTGTCGTGCTCCAATGAGCCTTGGGTCAGTGCATCAGAGCATTGCAGTCTCTCTCTAGCATTTTGAACCTAGAATCGGCGTTGTGGCATTGTTATTCTTGAAGTTGGGGCGCTCCCCTTCGGGTGTGTTGGAGTGCCGTGCTCTCAGGTTCGAAAATCTAGACAGTAGTTGTCCCCGAACCCAATATAAGTAAAAAACACCCGTACCACCCCCCTCCCTCGGGTATGTTGCAATGCCCTGATGCCAGTGCATCAGGGCATTGCAATGTCGCTCTCTCGCATTCTGAAATTGAAATACTGGAATTGGCGTTGTGGCGTTGTTATTCTCGGCGTTTGGGTGCTCCCTCCGGGTGTGTTGGAGTGTCGTGCTCTCGGGTTCTAAAATCTAGACAGACGTTGTCCCCGAACCCAATATAGGTAAAAAACACCTTACCCCCCCCTGTGAAAACTCATTGTCAAGCTTGATAGATGAAAGTAAGAGCTATGAGGGAACAATTGATCAACACAATCGGTTCCATATAACAACAATAAAGTCTTATGTCATCTTAGGTTAACTTAAATGTGTCCGCTTAAATAAACATATCCAAGATCTACAAAGGTAGCTTGGATGACACAACTTATGGTTGCTGACAAAAGTCTTCATGTGAGATTAGGTTGACTGCCTCATCTGACTAAGTTGATTAAGGACCATGACGACCCGGAATGATGGAAACATGAGATGTTGATCGGGTTCATCATTTATCTTATCATTCACTTTAAGCTCAAAATGATATATTTTATAATATAAACTCTAATTTAGCTACCACTATATGTTGAATATTCAATGTTTCATGATTAGCTTTAATCGAAAGTACTCTCCCATTAATTAATTATAGGGGCTCGGGTTTATGAAAAATCTAGAAGCCCAAGATCAAAAAGTCCTCGCAAAATAAAGGCGAAATCTATGGATAGTGTCTTATCTACAATCCGATCTACTTTAGAAATTTTGACTTGGAATACCAAATACAAAGCTCTCAATATTGACGAGAGTCCAAAGCGTTGAATTTTCTAAGCCCAAAAATACCTCCATTTAGACTCTTATAAGTTCCTTTTCTTACATGGATCTTATTTATTATTCTTTATATAAGATTCGCATTGTTCTCTCTGCCACATAACGGTCACACTACTCTTACAACACTCGAAATCTTGAAGTAAACCAACATTTGATTGCTTTATCTTTAGCCACCGTTAATTTCAAATTCAAATTGACATCTTTTATGTCTGCTTAAGCTACCGGTAAAGTGCTACCATATCAAAACTATAACACGGGCTAACTATTAATAATAAAACTATGCACAATTTATTACTGAGGATATTATTCTTTATTGTATTTCATTTTATTGTTTTTTCATTCCGACAACATATAGGCAATATATGCTTGCATTAGAGTAGCAATTCAAAAAATATGTAGTCCTTTATTATTCTCTTTATTCTAATATGATACAATATGACCTATCGAAGTTGATCTCACTCGCTCATTACCATTGATTTTAAGCTTGTTAATCATGATTTTTTAAATGGATTAAATCGAGTATTGTTAGTGACACTGGAAGTTATAAGAGTGCTACTGTTAGTGAATCCCGTGGTGGAGAAGTGATAAATGTTATGCAAGGGAGTTGTGTTGCAAGGAATTTCCAAGATCAAGAACTTCAAGTCTCAAATCGGGCAGAAAATTATTGAAGATCAGGAATTAGATTAAATTGCATTTTAATAAAGAACATCAGAGATTGTTTGATCGTGTGTTTTCGAAATATAAAGTAGCTAGAGTGTATGAATTATAAAAATGTAGACTAAAGGTACAAAAATATTGTGTTATTTCAAATATCTTCAAATTTAGATGAGAGCAAACACAAAGCAACATGAGTAAGCGATGATATTGGCAACGGCAACCAGGCGGGGGATTATGGACGAAGGAAGTAACAATGGAATGGCGGTGGGAATTACGAACGTGCAACACAAACCTTAGAAGGTGCCTGATTTGAGCTATTTTTAATTCAGAAAAACATAAGTTATGCATACTTCAAATCACACAAATTTTAAATTTGTATTTATTTTTTCATTAAATTTAACACCAAAAAAATTGAAATGTAGTGAAATGAAAATTGTTACAAACAAATGTTTTTGACAAGCTAACTCCTAAATATACTTTCAAGGAATCGGAAATTAGAAAAAAAAAAGTCACTAATCTCATAAATCAAATATGAACGTAGAAATTAAAAAATTTAACTCGTGAAAAAGTTATTTAATCCCACCAAAGTTTTCATGGGTAAAATGCAACTAATCAAGACACTTGCATCATATAATACGTAGTACTTGTATAACTATCAGAAAATTATAAGACACAACTACATTTGATTAAATTTCATCTCATCTGCCAATTAAATGAGATATAATGTACCTGACTGAGAAGCTTTGGCTTGTCCATAGTTGAAAATGTAACTTCATGCATGGGTCTGCATCAAAAGGAGGGGTGAACCAAACTTAGTGATCAAGTAATATGCAAGTGTCATAACATGAAACAATGATAAACAAAGAGCTTCTAATATTAACGTATTTTATTTGAAATAGAACCCTAGAATTCTTGTGCTCATTAGCATGCATTTAGATGACAAACAACATTGACCTATAAAAGGTGTTGCTATATTTTTTCATTACGGGTATTTGAAATGTTGATTTAATTTAATTTACTGATCATACAAAACTAAAGCCCATAGTACAACGAAATAATTATACTAAAGTTTTTGCACATTGAGGGAAACATATAGTAATGAGTTCTAACTCCCAAGATAAGTAATCCAAACATAATCTGCGGTGGTACTATAATTTGTCTTAGCAGATAAAATTTTAACCATTTTTTGGTTCGATTTAAGATCAAATCAAGATAGCCCATAGCCAAACATGGCTAAGCTCGTGATAAGATGACTTTTTGATGATCTTGAGAATCGAGAGTGCATCATTAACATAACAAAACATATATTTACAAGGCAATACCCTTGAATTACAAGGGACTGTAATGAGAAATATTAAATTTAAAGGTTGTATATTAAGAAGTGTGTATATTGAAAAAATTAATATTAGATAATCTAAATAGAAAAGATCTAAATACATTTTCTTTTCTATATTATAAAGCATATTAAATAACCTAATTAGAGGAGATCTAATTGCATGATCATTTTTAAATTAGAAATATTCCAAATTTATATGCCCTAATCATCTCCTATTTATAAAAGAAATTATGACTGATTTTTGTGTGTGGTGTTGTAACTTTATTTAGACCTTTTTATTCTCTACCCACCAGTTAATATAGGAATAACTTCTCCCCATTGACATAGACAACTTTGCATCGAACCAAATAAATCACAATGTGTTTGATTGTTTGCTTGTTGTGCGATTTTATTTTTCGCATTGTTCTGCACAACAGGGACGACAGAGACAACAAAAATGAAATAAATTTGTTAATTGTACTGTGAAATTCAGGGCTTGAATTAATATAAGTATAAGTAAATAAATTAAAATCAAAATATTGAAAAACAAATTTAAAGGTAATCCAATATGTAATGTAATTAGTAATTAAAATAAATTAGTTGAAAATTAAATAACTAAATATGAATATGAAATCACTATAATTAACTTTGAATTTAAAATTAAAAATAGTGGCATGCATGTTGAAATTTTTAAGTGTTCAATAAAAATTTTATTTTATTGCAAAGCATGGATGACACAATAGTGATGCAAAAGCATAAAAGAAATCATATTTTATTCAAATCATAACTTTGTAATATGTTATGTGATAGTTACTACATGTATTTGAATTCAATTTCAAATGAGTCATGTGGTGGTCATTGAATGCGCCAAGTGTCACCATCAACATTCGTATACAATAGCTTACATACAAAATATATCATGTGCACTTGTATGTCTTCAAAAGAACTAGTTCAAAGCAGAAGGTAATCTACAATATTCTATGAATATTGGACCATGAAAAATAGCACTTTACATAATTGTTTAGCAGTTAATTAATACAATGAGCATAATATTGAAAAATAACCTGGAAAAGTTAGACATGGTTTTTGAAGCACTGTCGATATCTTGAACATGTTCTTCATTGACTTCAAGTGCAAGAATCTCAAGATTTGTTGATGAACCAAATGTTGGAGGAGGATGAATGCTGAAACATGGTCAAGTAGTATCACAAAAGAATAGCTCAAATCATCAGAAAGATTATAACAGCGTAAGGTTGATGCATAAACCCTTCATCCCAAATGCCCCAACGCAAAAGAAGAAAAAAAATGAAACAAGTATGATATGAAAAACTTAATTGACATTAAAAATTAGGGGAAAAAAAAGGAAGGCATAGAAGACTCGCAATGCTGCTTATTTGTAATAGCTTATCAAAGATTTAAAAAAAAAAAAACCAAAGAAACTGTAGCTTCAGTTGATGACCCAACACAGCATTTCATTTCCTAAGAAATTACATTTTTTGAAGAAATTCTAAAGTCACGCTTGCTTAGTTTTTTGGCTATAATGAAATCAGCATATAATTAAGTTCATCTGGGAAATGCAAACAAATGCCTCTTCACCATTAAAAACAATTCTAGTGAAAAACAAGTAGAAAAAATTATCCAATCATCACTATGACTCACATATCGCCTCTTTACAAGAAAAAAAATAAAAACTTATATTTCTCATCAATTAAAAAAAAAAGCTACTCCATCAAATAAGTTAATGGAAACAAATTTCAATTCATTTTCTTCTTTTTCAAATCCTTCAAACCAAATAGAGCCTAATTGTCCAGTAATACTTAACTTCTTCTGAAATCAACTTTGATACTGAGAGCCCAACTACTAAATTATAAAGGGACATTTACAAACATAGCACACAATTTTTATGTATTTAAATATCTCACACCTAAATTTTCACAGTTATGTACAGCAGTCAAATCGTTAATATTACATCAAAAATAGCACTATTACCACATTTTAAAAGTGAAATACATATTTTTCATGCATAAGTTAAGAGCAACAAATTGCTATGTATGTGAATATAAAATTTTTGTTATGAGATATGTAAATACATAAGACTTATGTGCTGCCTATGTAAATTTCCCAATTATTAAGCTATATGCATGAAGCAATATGCATGCATAATTGCTGTCACGGTCATGTAGTCAGCACAAGATGCAAATTTGTCTTCAAGTTCAAAATTGCATAAATGATAATGAAAACTACACACGAAAACTACATACAATTTCTCCAACAGTTTTAAAGATAGAAAGTGAGGAAATAAAAACTTTACTTCGAAGTTTGTATTGATCTCTTGAGACGAGCTA